CTCTTGTCTTTATCTGCTGCTACTGCTGCTGATGCTGTTGCTGCATTGTCTCTGCCGCCTCTAGATGACTTCTTATCTGTGCCCGCTGCCCCTGCTGCTGCTGCTGCTGCTGTGCTGCTGCTGCTGCCTCCGCTACTACTGCTCTGCTGCTCCTCCTGCTGCTTCTGCTACGACTGCAACTGCTGCTGCTGCTGCTGCTGCTGTCTGCTTGCAGGCGTCTGGAGGGCCTTTTGAAACATATCAATTGCTAGAGTTTTTAGGAGACTCTGCTTTGTGTTTTGTTGTGACAGAGTGGCTTTACTGTCTCTTTACTGCAGCAAGAGAGGGTCCCTTATCTGCAGCAAGAAGCATATTACTATCAAACTCTTTTCTAGGGGCTAAGCTGCTGCGCAGGTCTCTCTGTCTCCTCCGTTTATGTTTTGTTTATTACTTCTTTAAATATATACATTTATATATATATATATATTTATTTACTTGAATAGATATATAGATTATTTAAACATAAAGAGAGACAGAGATAGATATGCTATTATTTATTTATCTGTCTCTCTCTTTATTTTTGCTGCCTCTCTCTCTTATTTTGTTGCTGCTCTCTGTCTTGTTCTTTTGTATTGAGTGTCTCTCTTATTCTCTGTCTCTCTTTTTCTTTCTTTCTACTGTCTCCTTCTGTCTTTCTGTTATTTATTTTAGGGTTTGTTGTTTATTTCTACTGTCTCCTTCTCTCTCTCTCTCTCTCTCTCTCTCTCTCTCTCTGTCTTTCTCTCTCTGTCTGTCTGTCTCTCTTTGGTTGCCTTATCAGTCTCTTTAATTTATTATTTATTTTGCTTCTCTGTCTCTGTCTCCTCTCTGTCTGTCTCTGTCTCTGTCTCTTTGTTTTTATTCATTGTTTGTTTGTCTGTCTCCTTTTTTAATTAATTTGTTTGTCTGTCTCTTTTTGTTTTATTTTGTTGCTGTCTTTTATATTTATCTCCTGCCGTTTTTTTGCTGCTGCTATCTTTGTCTTACTGTCTCCTCTCTCTGTAACACGTTTATAATTGAGCTAAATTTACTGCTGCTGCTGCTGCTGCTGGTGCTTCTTGGTGCTGCTGCTGCTGCTGCTGTTGCTCATTGCATTTATATCTAATTATTTTTCTCCCTGTCTCTTGCTTCCGCTGCTGCTGCTGCTGCTTCTGCTTCTGCTTCTGCTGCTGCTTCTGCTTTTGCTTCTGCTGCTGCTGCTTCTGCTTCTGCTGCTGCTGCTGCTGCTGCTCAGGCTGCATGCATCAGGATTGTCTGTGCATTCATTATTACTAGAGACAGAAGACAGCGGAGTGTCTCCTTCTGTCTGCTGCTTGTGCATTAACGGGGGCCCCCCTTCTGCTGTCTCCTGCCGCAGCAGCAGTCTCCTTGCGTCTCTTTGGACAGCTGCAGAAGCTGCAGGGTGTGGGGTGAGGCCTGGGGGCCCCTGCTGCTGCTGCTGCAGCAGCTGCAGCAAATCCAAGATGCAGCACTGCATGCACTTGCTGCAGCAGCTACCCCCACAGGAAGAATTTAACTATGAAGCAGCAGAATTCCTCTCCCGCCTAAAATACTCGAAAGACCCTGCTGCTGCTGCTGCTGCTGCTGCTGAGCTTGACAGCAGCAGCAGCAGCAGCAGCAGCAGCTGTCCTAAGTGGATTAAGCAGCTAGGAGACATCTACGAGTCTCTCGCTTGTGCTGCACTCATTTCTTCTGGCTTTTCTCTTCAGGTAAGGAGACTCCTTTTGATGCAGCAAATACACCCAAACGCCTCTGCTGCTGCTGCTGCTGTTGCTGCTGTTGTTGCTGCTGCTGCTGCTGCTCAGCCTACACAGCAGCGCACAGCCACATCATTATACTTTTCTTTTTCTGCAGCTGCTGATTCATATTATAGTAAACTGCTGCGCCACGTCCCCCCTAATGCTCCTGCTGCACCTGCTGCTGCTGCTGCTGCTGCTGCTTTTACTCCTGCTGCTGTTGCTGCTGCTGCTGCTGCTGCTGCAGGCCCTTTGGGAGGTGGTAGGGTTTGACTTCGCTGAGTGTTATGAAAATGTCAGTGCTTTCATCTTAGCTGTAGCGGAGTACAGGGGGCCGCAAGAGAGGCCCCCAAACGATTTGTAATATTTGCTGCTAGGGCCTCCTTCGGGGGTTGCAGCAGCAGCAACAGCAGCAGCAGCAACAGCAGCAGCAGCAGAAGCAGTAGCAACAGCAACAACAAAAGCAGCAGCAGCAGTAGCAGTAGGAGCAACAGAAGCATCAGCGGCACCAGCAGCAACAGCAGCAGCAGCAACAGCAGCAACAGCAGCAGCAGCAACAGCAGCAGCAGCA